AAATCATACAAGCTCCACCCTTGTCATGCTTATCTGCTCTTCACAAGTCCTCACAAAATGTAACTGTCATCTATGTGAACAAAAATGAGAGCCACGTACTGAATCCAGGGCTGTTGACGTCAGGGAAGAGAGGAGGAGGAACTGGTTGTTTTGGACTGCTCCTTGTGCAAATAAGGCTTATTTGAACTAAACCGAGGGGAGAAACTCAAAGAAGGAGATAAGAGAAAATGACAAAACTGGTGAAGTCCAGCAGACATTCCTCTTTCCCTGCTCCCTCAGTTGCCATGATTAACATCTACAAGGAAGTCACTTAAAGGAACCAAAGAAGGAAGTAAGGACGGTAAATGAAGACGGAAAATCCAAAAAAATGCACCTGCAGCCCTTCAGCTTGCATCTTTTAGTTGTTGTTGGCCGATCTACAGTTACCAGAGTCAACTTCTTGCAGATTTGCTAGAAAAAAGTTTGTTCTCATTGCTGGAAGACTTTCAAAATGAATAGCGCTGTAAATCTGACACTCATGATCCCGGTTTCATTTTGCGCCACAAATTGACTGAATTGTTTTGTTTCCAATCTTGATGGTGATCTGCCTGCAATTTATGGGGCTTAAGGCAGTTGTATTGTAACGTAGCCTTTTATATAGTTTAGGCCTGCACCTAATGATTTTTTTTTTTCAATTAGTTGATTAACCTAACAATTAATTTATCAATTATTCTAACAAATATTTTTAAGTACTCGATTAATGACAATGAATTTACCCAAAATAAAAAACAAAAGCGTGTTTTCTTAGTATTTCAAGATTGTATTCAAACACAGCTCTTGAAAACAAAACCTTTGTTACAAAAGTAGCAAGATTAAATCTATGCACCAAAAATATGAAACAAAAATTGCCTGGTCTTCACTGGTAATCTGGTTCAGCAACATAAATCTCTCCAAAATAAAGTTACAGCAAGAGTTGCTCAATTCAAGTAAAAAGACATTGTGCAACCTGTGCAATTTAAGTAACATAAATTTTTTTTCTAACAGTGCATTCCTATCATTTTTCTTAAGTAGCACACATGCTATCTCTCTCCCTCTCTCTTCTGTCTCTCTTTCCCCTCCCCCTTGTCATCTTACAGTCGTGTAATTTGAGTCACACTTAACAGGGGTGTGCATGGATTCAGGTTCTTTTTGTGATAAAAGTCCTCCACACTGCTTTGCCTCACCCTGAAAAAAGACACATAAAGCACGAGGACTGGGCCATATCATACCATGCACGGTAATACTGGTGTAATGTTAGGGGATGATATGAAATTGAAATATCATGATAGAATTTGAATGAAACACGCAGTGCTGTTGTTTTCATCCGGTCTGATGGACATGGAGTAAGAAGCATGATGGTGACTGAGGAGGAGGATGAATGCAGTGCATCGACCGACACAGTAGGGCTGGACCCAGATATTGGAATATTCAGACGTTGTGGTGGTGTCCAGATAGCAATTTTGAGATCCGAATATTCGCCCACCACCTGCCGCTATCCTCCCCTGCCGCCGAGCTTACTTACATATCACAGCGTGGTTGGGTCTTTGGTTGAAATATTCCCACACTTTAGATACGTGTGGCCGAGTCTTTTAAGAAAGCATATACTCCCGCTACCATGTGGCCGCAATGCATCGATGCATGTTTTACATGTCGGTGTATTTGATTACGTACATAGACATAAATAGACTTTACTTACAAACTGATGTACTGAGCTGAATGCTTATGTTTCACCATCACCTACTTTTGTGATCTGCAGAACTTGTGTTTTAAAACAAACACTCTTCTGTCTTCAGGTTTGCAACTTTTTATCACACCAACAGGTCAAAACAAAAATATTCAATTAAAAATAAAAGAGATTTTTTAACAATAAATTGATTCATAAAATAAAATCTGCTTGGCTATTTATAGATTAGATGACTCAATGTTTTAGCTCTCCTTGTCTCACCTCCTGAAGGACACCTCAGGCTCGCTCCTAATGTAATTTGGCTTGCTTTTTAAATCTTGGGGGAATCCCCTTATTCAAGACGTAAATAAAGGATGGTAACTGTAACACTAACGTTCTCTGCATGTATTTTTAAAGTGTCAGTGATTATGTGTAATACACTGGCAAAGCGTCTAAATATTGTACCAGGGTTAAAGGGAAATGTTTCATACTATAACTGAAGGGTGGCAGAGCACACCCAGTGATTGACTCTTATTTAGGAAAGAAGTCCTTGGAGTCTTTTCCTGTCCTTGTCCTGGCACAGTGCGCGACACACAGACGCATTAATGCAAAGTGAAGGAGCCATTATCCCCACTAAGCGCTATGTGCTGCCACTGTCACAGTGGGGAGCCTGCTGTGAGAGCCATTGTCATCAATAAGCTGCATTATTTTATCACAGCACAACATCTGCAGGACTAGCCCCATTTTCTGAAGCTTTCTCTCTGTAGCTAGTAGTCGTTCGTGTGTATGTGTATGTGTGTGTGTTCCTGTGTGTGTGTGTGTGTGTTTGTGTGTATCTTCCCTCTGGCAGTGACAGTATGATGTATGGAGTAGCAGCAGCCTGCTATCACAGAGAACAGGTGGCTCTCTCCAGAGACAAACTGACAACACACTGGCCTGATTTAATGTGTGGGAGAAAAAAGCAAACTGAACAATTGTCTTTTTATTCTTGTCGTGAAAATGGTAGCTGTTGTTGCACTGAGTGAGGGTGAAGGTCTGAGGCCTGCTCAAGATTAGGGACTTAAAATAAAGGGTCATCTAAAGATGTGCATTTCATTCTTAGCCATAAACAAAAACCATTGTCTTTTTGGACATCATTAGCTGTGGCTGGAGCAAAGAAATGCATTGTGCTTCCTGAGCATTAGAATAATACAAGGAGCCACCATGCTCGTTGTTAAAATTTGCTTTAATTTCTACTTCACAGCCCATTTCATAGCTAAATGCAGCAAAATTCTGTTTACCGTCTGACAGCACAAATCGATGTTAAATGACTTACGCTAAAATACGTGTTTGACAGGCTTGTTGATGCGTACCGATGAGTCAGTGAGTACTTAAACAGATTTCTTGCTTCAAAGGATACTTTCTGCTTGTTATTCAACAGAGAATGTCAAATAATTACTCACTTGCTACTTAAAGGGGCGATATACAGGTTTTGAACATAAATTAATGTGTGTGTCTGTGTGTGTGAATTCGAGCTTGTGTTTTGTAAGTTTTGGCAGCACGTACATGTTTGTGCAAGTGAGTCTCTCCCTTTGAAACTGTTGACCTTTCCTGTTTATATACAGACTAGGGCTGGACCCGAATAACCGACTATTTGGTCGTGATGCTGGTATCCAGATAGCAATTTTGATCCGAATATTCGTCCTTTCGCCGCCGCTACCGCAACTGATGGCAGATACAGTACTGTGCCCCAGGGTAGTCTGAGTGTTCAGCAGGTACCCAAAAAGCCAAAGTATTATATTTGTCATTTATTTAATTTACATGTGAATTTAATGTCACTCAGTGTGAGAGTCTCTGCTGCTGTTTGCTGCTTGCCTCTGCTTCTCCTTTGCCTCGCTATGTCTGTACCACCAAGGGCATCGGTTCATCGTATTAGCTGTCATTATATGTGTAACTGTTTAATCCGCCATTTCTCCTCTATCATGGACTCATGGTAAAACAGACACACACCAACTGGAGAGGGACAGGTGAAGTGAACCGTCATTGACAACCTCTAAGGTTGTAAATAAATATAGGTGAACGGAGGGTGTGGCCGATGTACTCGTTTGTTTTGGTCTGAGATGCTGGTGTAGTGGCCTCCAGTGATTCTAGCACCTTTAAACCTGCATTTATATATTTGGTCATTGGGGAGCAGGGGAAACAATCTATGTAGTAAACTGTTTTTTTAACACAACATCAAACGAGTCCAAAGTTCACTCTCGTTTAGCCTCTGCTGGTTTTGCATCTATCAACTACCAACAGTTAGCAGCGGAACCCTCTGGTCATTGCTTCTTGCTGTTTGGTGCTAAGAGGATAGAGTACACTCAGTTTTTCAAGCTTCATTTTGTAGAAAATGGCTATCAGCAAAAATGCTGTGCGAGTGAGTCTAAACTGTGAAGCTACAGCTTGTAAAACCAAAGCAACGATCTGAAAGACACTGTAAAGCTCCCTAGTACTAAAGGGAAACTGCAGAGCTCAGTGATCATTCTTTGTGGCTTGATTACTGCGAGTGACTGCTTTAACTAATAGGGTTGTATTCCTGAATCCTTCATCAGTTATGATTTGGGCTCTGTTTTTGTGTGAGTGATGGCAGAGGTTTTGATCCTTCAGGTAGTTCTGTGGAAGCTGATGCTACTGGCTGACAGCCAGTGCGTTGTCTCATCTCCTACTGCCTTCTCTCCATTATTGTCAGCCTGTGGGAGATGGCTATTGATCTGTGTGTTTGTGTGTGTGTGTGTGGTGTGTGTGTGTGTGGCCGTCTCTCTCTCTCTCTCTGGCAAGCCACATTTCACTCACATATACACACCTTTCAGGGATACAAGCAAAGTGATGCAGAGAGAAATGTGTGCAATATAGAGGTGTCAGACAAACCCAGTAAGAGCTGTAAATCACTTGGCCACAGGGATGTAGAAGTGACACATTAAAGATCATTATTAATGTGATTGTGAGACCGAGGTCATGCATGTGCAGCAGTGTGTCGAGCACTGAGGCTGCTGCATTCACAAGACTGTGGCTCTCCTTTTGGTCCCTTTCCTCCTGCTGCTTTTCCAGAGCAGTGCTGAACTCTCCGCCTGAATCTGTTTTTCACCTCACACAGAGGACACAGCCCAGGAAAGGGAAAAGGGTGCGGCTCTAAAACAGACTTCGATCATCTCTTTTTTTCCCCCCTCGTTCTCACTCGTTCTATTTATGGTTTCATTCTTTCACCTCCCCCTCTTGTTTGAGAAGACTTTACTCTCCCTCGTTTACTGAGTGTCTCATAGCTTACCATATAGACTAATAATGTGTATTCTGTTTGTAGATGGCTGCAATCAGGAAGAAGTTGGTGATAGTAGGTGATGGTGCATGTGGGAAGACCTGCCTGCTCATCGTCTTCAGTAAGGACCAGTTCCCGGAGGTCTACGTCCCCACTGTGTTTGAGAACTACATCGCTGACATTGAAGTTGATGGCAAGCAGGTACACTATATCTAAAGCTTGATTGTTTTGGTTATATGACGATGAATAATTAGAAGTAATTAAGAAATTTTTATGTTCTTGAACTTTAAAGGTGAGCATTTTATGTAAATTTACACTTGCACCCCACTACAACTCAAAGAGGAAATGAAATAGCATACTTTTTACTGACTGCATGTATTTTGACAGTTACTGGTTACTTTACCAGTAAAGATATAGGATAAAATTATGTGATTTATGAAGTACAAGGCATTTTTACATTCTAAACCAGTGGCCCAATAACATTTGGCTTGTGATCCTGAAAAAACAGGTTTAGTTGGTACTTCTTGTCACAATTCAGATGTTGTGTGGTGCTCACGTTTCCACTAAAGAAACATTCCCGCTTGTAACTTCTCGATGGTTTCATTTAAATAACGCTTTGATGTCCAGAGAGGTCAAATGATATATTGTTTGACAAAAACCGCAAAAACAGCAGAGGAGTCAAAAGACTGAAAGTAGGTTTGTGTGTCACAACTTTGTTTTTTATTTGTCATGTGACCCGTGTGGCTCCTAGATTGTGAACTACCAAACTAAACTAATTGTACTGCTACATTGGCATTGGTAAAGAATTTGAATGTGTCCGCCACCACTCAATATTAAAAAAGTTCCTCAAAACAGGCATGCTTATGAGACACTGTTGACCCCGTTGGTAGTGAACCACGTGCCATTAAGATTGATGGGGAGAAGTACGTATTGTGAGCAAATCCTTGGACCATTATTGTTACAAAGCAGCAGACCTCCAGCCAACAACAGGAAATGGATCAGTGCCACCTTCCTGTGCAGTGTTGGGAACCCCCCTCCTCATACATCATGACTAATGTCCCATTTCCTGTTCCTGTTTCCTGTGCTGCAAAATCTGGGATCAGCTGGTTGAGGTTTTGCCTGTATAATATAAACTCCAGACTTCTCAGCTGTGGCATACAGACTTAGAAAAGAATCTGAATCTGATGTCGAGATACATTTTATAACAACTTGGCATCACTGTTAAACTTGGAGCTGCTGCCTACTTGTTAATCTTTTATTATACTCCATTGTGGCTATAGTAACTAAGGAAGAGACGAGTCTCAGGAGACTGACTCCTGAGAGACACCTAGTGGTAAAAGAATCAAAACTAGCAGATCAAGGTTTTTCAATGTGTGGAGTTGCTCATTTTCAGACAGAAGTTGTGCTACAGTTCATGTACTATGGAAAATGCCCTGCCTGTGGTAGACTATACGTCAGAAGGTTCTGTGTCTAGCCAATCTTGCCAAGGCAAGTAGTCTGTAAGCCAGTAAGAAAGACTTGGCAAGACTTGAGAGTAGTGAGATGTCAGAGAAGTCCAAATGAACTACTAAGATACTGTAGCTGCTCTCTGGGGGAAGATTAAGACAGTTTGTTTTGTACCCAGTTCTTAGCAGTAGCAGGTGCAGTTTTCCAGCTGAGACTACAGTCAATTTCTGTACACTTTAATAGTTTGAATAAGGTATGATTTTAGCATTAAATGACACTTCTGGGTTACTGCGTACTAAACATTATAAAAAGTGCAACAGCTCTTGCTGAACTCTAGCAAATGATTTTTGCTGGGCATTTGTTTTATCTAGAGCAGGTCAGACACCCTGGGACTGCTTACAGTTTGATTAACAGCCTAAAGCCTGTGGGAACAACCTCCACCTCCAGGGAGTTGCTTTTTTACGCCTAATAGAGGAGGAATGAATCATTCTGAATCTTTTTCCTTCCTTTGTCCAGCAGTTTTGTCTTTTTTTCTTGTTGTCCATATTCTGCTTTCATATTTGTTGTCGTAATCCCTCTTCATCCTGCTGACAGTGATGTCTGTCTGATTTCACCAGTGTAGCTGAATTGATTCTCTGTGGTTGTGGCCATTCGCATCACGTGTCTGTTCTTTTTATTCCTCTCTCTCAGGTGGAGTTAGCCTTGTGGGATACAGCTGGCCAGGAAGACTATGACAGACTGAGACCACTCTCCTACCCTGACACAGATGTTATCCTCATGTGCTTCTCCATAGACAGCCCTGACAGTTTAGGTGAGGCTGGATACACTGGTTCGCTGACTAAACAAGAATGGGAGTCAGATTTCAGCTACTTACTGTGCTCCAGTTGACTCATTGTACTGAAATTAGGAAGCAAAACTATAAAAGATATTGATGGGTTTGTTGGGGGGGGGATTTTTTTTGGTGCATTTTTGCCCTTTTTAACATTTGACAGGGCAAAGGGAAAAAAAAAGATATATATTCCAGTTATTACCGCTCCTATTATTATCCTTTATTGGGTTGTACAGCCTGCTATTTGTTTTTTCCATAAACATTTTTTTCCATCTGCATACCTCATAAAAGCAATTATACATTTTCTAAAAAGTTATTTCTTGTTCAGATGGTGGGTCTATATTTGTAAATGCATAAGTTGTTGGTATTGTAATTAATCCTGCTGATGACTGTTCAGGCAAAAAAAAAAAAATTTTACCTCGATTGACCTGATCAGTGCACCCCAATAGACTTTTGTGGACTGAAATGTCCTTTTTTTTTTTTTTTTTTTTAAACACTAGAGAGAACACAACGTAAGTGCTGTTGTTGCATAGTGCTGAAGATTAGGATTACAAAATATGTCAAGTGTATTTCAGCTTTGGATCAGCATGTTCTTGGCCTTCAGATAACCAAATCAAATATCTCATATGTCTTGTTTGATAAAACTTCAGACGTGGGTTTTTCTCTCACAGTCTGTTCATATGTGCAGTGACACAGATGGCGTTCCTACTCCAGCATAACATGGCATCTCCCTCCAGAGAAAACTGCTGATTTTGGCTCGCAAGCTCAGAACCATTTATTAGTCAGGAGTCAGTGACCTCTTGATGTTTGTCTGTAGAGTCACAAGGGAAAGTCTCTTACTGTCCTTGTAAGGGGAAAAATCTGTGATGGACTGTGCTGTGACTTTTTAACATTTCATATGTTAAATTCTTTCAGAGAACATTCCTGAGAAATGGACACCTGAAGTGAAACACTTTTGCCCCAATGTCCCCATCATCCTGGTGGGCAACAAGAAGGACCTTAGAAATGATGAACACACACGCAGGGAGCTGGCCAAGATGAAACAGGTGTGTGTTTCTGTACCCCGCTGTGTTACAGGCATCAGATTGTACCAAAGCTAATCAATGTCCCTGTTTAATGCCCACACATCCAGTGAAATGTTAACACACTGTCTGAACATGAAACCTCTAGGAGCCAGTGAAGTCTGAGGAGGGCAGAGACATGGCCAACCGCATCAGTGCCTTTGGCTACCTTGAGTGCTCAGCCAAGACCAAGGACGGCGTGCGGGATGTGTTTGAGATGGCCACCAGAGCAGCACTGCAGGTTCGCAAGCGCAAGAAGAGGGGCGGCTGCCAGCTACTGTGAATGGGCAGAGCGTGTTGGCCAATCAGAACCTGAGGGAGGATCCCCCCCGACCCACAGAGCAAACTTGGAGAAACTTTAAATCAATGGCTTCCATGGACTATACTTAACTTCACAGATGCAGATAAGTCACAGGCAAGTATGAAAGACTGACACACCTGTTTAAAAGCAAAACAAATCAGCCTTTTTCTTTTTTAAACCCTTTCCTCTGCAACTCACATCTTGTTATTGCTTGTTCCCTGTTTGGTTTTCCTCCACCAGCACACCCGACAGTTTGTGTGAAGGATTGCCCCTTTCCTTCTATATGTATGGATGTGTGTTTGTATTTATATGTGCATATACTTTACAGATATGTCATATGTCTGCTTCTATATTATGATTGTTTACAGAGAAAGGTCTGTGGCCTACATGCTCATTGACTGTCTTTGTCTCACAGCTATGACTTGCAGACAGTTTTAGATCCACTGCTTCCCCCTGCTTCTCTTGAACTTGCGCAGTCTCTTTTTATACATCAGCTTCAGTCCCAATCCGTCATCTGTTCCTTATACCACTATTAATTTTACACCCTGAAATTTCTATTTCACCAAGTGCTGTGTCAGCAAAGCTCTGTTTTCCACAGCTTTTTCTTCTGACACAAAGGACTAAATTTAGAGTCTGTTCGCACTGCATTAATCCACTGAAACCTACATAAACTGAAGCACCAGTGACTATTTGCATGGAGAGGTTCTGGACTGTACCTTGATCTGTCTCTTCCATGGCGATAGCTTAAACTGGCACTGGAGACAGTGGTCTATTGTCTTGGACACAATGCTCGCAGTCACGCTCACACAGGCTCTGGCAGACGTCACCAATGCCTTCCCCCAAAGAGTTCTGTCTCCTGCCTGAACTCTGTACTGTTTCAGATCCAGTATACAGTGTTCATACAACACTGTGTACTGGATTTAGCGAGGATGAATGCACACTGTAATCTACCAGTTCCTGGATGGACACTGTATACAGCCATATTTGTATTTAACATAATATGGGCCTATTCTGTGTATACAATTTTTAACTAAATACTCAACTGTCAACAGTGTTACCATCTCCTAAGGTTGGCTCACCAACATTAAATCTGTTGGCCACTTGAAATTGGAGCATGGTTGGTGTGTAATAACCCTTTATTTGACACTACAGTGACATTCCTTGAAATGTAATTTGATAAGCAAAGGATATCATAGTGTGTAGCTAATGTCCAGTTAAAATGTTGCTCTTGAGTTGCCCTTATTAATTGGTGAAATGGGTCCAAATAGTATGAACAGAGGGTGTGTATGTGTGGGAATAACAGAGGTTTGGCTCTAATCAGAATTTGTCAATTTTTAAGTAATATTTACACCCATGTGTCCATATGTGCGGTTTACAGCAATTTTTTTTTTGGAAAAAAAAAAAAAGCCACAGAATTGTAATGGACAAGCCTGAGAACTAACTTTGTCTGTGGTTACAACCGAATTTGAACTATAGTTTCTCTGGACATGTATTCTCCTAAATGACCGGATCATAAAACCACCTCAAACATGCAGCCCTCTGATGCCGTTAGCGTGTACTTTTCTATGACAGCTAAAGCAAAAGAGATGCAGTGTAGTCTGAATCCAGTCCTGCCCAGAGAACGCCCTGAACACCCTGTATGCAAGTGTATTAAATGGCCCCTACATTGATTTTGCCACCACCATAAGGTGCAACTGTGGTGATCTTGATTTTATCCCGTACATTCAGATCTACAGGTCAGAATGTCGTAGGCCTGGGCTAATATCTGGACAGTGCCTCTGTATTAAATGTCAAACCTCATAGTTGAAGAGAAAATGTTGATTGTGATCATGCTTTACAAACAGGGATGGGATGTGTTCAATGTCTGGGTGAGACAAACATGTTAATAAAGTATTTTTGAAATACTACACAATCTTAACTAGTCTTGTTTTGTTTTGCAGTACCAGAATTAAAAATCTTGCAAATGACTTTAATGCATTTAAACAAATATTCAGTTCACTTATGACACATTCCTTACATTATTTTTCTTCTGTTATCATTAAAAATAAATTCCAGGGTCTTACAGGGTATCAAAATCAAAATGAGATTTTACAGAAAACCAAAATGAACAAATACCAATTGATTGAAACAACATGTTCTGACAGAGGAAAGATCTGAACATTTAGTGCTGCTCAATTTAATCTTTTATTACATTTCGTACAATTTTATTCATTCAGAAAATACAATCTGGTTGAAAATAAGCCATAAATATCTTTCATATGGTATACATGAATAAATGGGCAGTCCTGAGCAATCCTGAGAACGGCATTTGTGATTTGTAAAATTAATTTTCAAAAAGGTTATAGTTTGTGATTGAAGATTTGTGTCACTGTAGCTGGATTAAAGCAGCATTTTCAGCAGTTTTGGGTAGACACTGACAGCGGTCTTAGTGCAGTTTACTGAGGTAAACATGAATCAGCTCCCTGCTCTTCATGGTCTTTGGTCAAGTTCCTACTGCTGACATTGAAGGTGCACTCTGGAATGTTATTGTCTGATTGGCACTGGCTGTGTTCCTTACCCTCAGTATAGAAAGGTGCCAGTGAGCCCTTGTAGAAGAATTTTTTTGTTACACCTATCAAATAATTAACCTAGACGAATCCCTTTCAGTGCCTATAATCAAGGTCTGTGCTCTCCTTTTGTTCAGATGTCTGTCCTCCACTCAGGTTCCAGGTGTTGCTGAACGGCACTCTCTGCAGTCTCAACTGAGGAAAGATGTACAGGAAGAAAGTAGGATTGACAGTTTAAATGTTAATTCAAAGTAGGCATTTTAGGGATATAGTAATTAAAGTAAAATATGTGATTGTTACCCCCAATCTCTACGGAGAGTGCAGCGAGTCTAAGTAGCATGACTTCATATTCTTCCTCATGACTAAAGCCAGTGTAGCCACTTTCATCTTTGCAGTACTTGATAAAGCTGCAAACAAGCATGGGAAGAGAACAATGATGGTTCATTTTCTGACATTTAAAATGAAATAGTAATGTACAGTATATATACTAAAAGCAAAGCTAGACACATGAAACATACTTGGCCCAAGTCGGATCTGTGTTCAACACAATGGGGTTTCCCACCACAATCAGCAGGGCTTTAGCCCGAGTCACAGCCACATTGAATCTCTGGAAAAGAAAAGAGTTTGTTGAAATAACGTGCACATGTACACACAGTGTGTGTGTACACATATGTGATGTTTACCTTTTCATTCTTGACAAAGCCCAGGTTGAACTTCTTGTCATATTCTGCGTAATTGGTGCTGCTTCGAACTGTAGACACCAGGATCACTCTCCTCTCCTGGCCTTGGAACTCCTCCACTGAACCAACCTGACACGCAAACACACACACACAAACACAAAAATATATCCATTCAAGACATTGAGGCTACTCTGTGCCTCCTATTGTTTCAGTGTAAAATATTTAGTTACCTTAAGCATGTCCATGTTCTCAAATTTGAAGTCTTTCCCAACTTTTTGCAGGCCCCTACGGATTTTCTGCACCTACGTGACACCAACAAAAAAAGGCTGCAGTTTTTAATTTACATATAATTAGAAACACAAGTTCACTGATACTCAGACCAAAACAGTGGTGACAAGAAGTAGTTGAATCTATGTATGCAGAGCATGTTGGATTGACTTTAGTTCAGACCTGCTTCCTGTAGGGGGCGATGATGCCTATGTCTCGAGGTGCAATGGTTGCCAGGCCCTTCTTGCTACGTGACTGCAGCAGTTTCCTCACATAGTCCATCAACACCTCCACTTCTGCTACATTGAAGAATGAAGGACTGTTTTTTTCACGGGCATCAACACCGGCCACCCCGTGGAAGATCACTGGGAAGCCCTAAAGGATACGTGAGAATTTTAAAGAAAAATACAATGGTATGTACTGTATGTTCAAGACACCTTTGCACAGAGATCACAAACATCAAGGTAGAAAGAAAAGAAAAGAAAAGAAAAGAAAAAAAACAAGCATGCTCTGCGAAATGTTTACTCAAACAGAAAAAAGCTCTGTCCAGGTCTTCACAGACTGAACTAGTCATAGTGCTGTTTTTCGGGCTATTCAATAATAATTGGCTTGTTTGGGCTGAAGCACAGACATGTGACCATGTTAGTTTTTCTGTATTTTATTGAACTGACTACTCAAATGGATTTGCTCTTATTACAATTTTCGATTATGTAATAAAAAATTCATCAGATAAAGTCAGTAAATTAATTAAGCTATTAAATGCCTTGTCTTCCCATGAAATCCCTTATAAACTAGTAGAAAACCACATGAAAATGTTATTATTGTCTGACTCTTACAGGTCGGCCATTTATTCTCTACAAAAGAACAGTCTACCAATGAGGCAATGCTCAAATATATGTTTGGCATAGTTTCTGGCTGAACTCATTCATGAATATATAATAGTCGAGACATAAATCACTGTTTTTCGACTTAAGATATTAATGAAGTGTTTGTTACAGCTCTAGAATGAGTATAAAATGGATACAATATATTTTGATCATAAAAAAAGGTAGCAAAACTCTTGAGTTGCAGCCGTATCTGTTTCCGTCGGTGGTGTCTGCTAAAAGAAGAATCCTTACCATCTTCGGGAGGTGTTCCCATCCGCAGTAGGAGTTGCGTAAAATTTCATCCGCGCAAACCTGCAGCTCTCCATCATAGAAGAGCTCGTTGGGAATCTTCAGAATGGCAGGATGGGACCTGAAAAAAGAAATTAGTGCATTCTACTAAAACAAGTCTGTTATTTCTGTAAATGAATGACCGAAAAACGTCTCCTCTACCACACCTGTAGTTGCGCAGCAGTTTGGTGACAAAGCAGCTGTTGAACACACCGTCTTCTTTCCAGTACACAGGGAAATTACTCATCAAACGTTCCAAGAGGGACGTTCCTGAAGACACCACAACTCATTAAATATCAGCACATTATACAAACACAACCTCTACATCCTCCTTTAGTGATAATACTGTAAGAACAAGCAAGAGTGTGTGAATGCTTCTGTACATACCCAAGCCAAATTTCAGTGCAAACGGAGATCTGAGAATGGGTCCGAGCTGCTTGGGGTCTCCCGCCAGAACAACCTGACCAGAGTCTGCATCGAGCAACCCTTTGTACCACCGACAAACAAAAAAAAATCAATCGCTGCATATATAAAATTCTATGCAGGTACAGAGCACGCTGCAGTTTGTTTTCTTTACCTGCCAATGGAACGACACATTCAGTCTCCACAGCATGTCCAGCCTCGTCCACAAACACATGAGTGTAATGCCCCACAGGAATGCCTCCTGTGACCAGCCTGCAGAGATCAAAGAGTGTATAGACTGTAGCAAACTCGCATCCCACAAGTTTATCTGATCTGTAGTACTGACTGTTATATGTATGTAGCATGCAAAAACAGTGGCATACAGGTGAGAAAATTGCTGTTTGAGTCATTCATTACCTTCCAGCAGTTAACAGGGTGGTGACCATGACTCTGTATTCCATCAGTTTTTCTGCAGCAGGAAACTCGTAACAATCCCCGACCAGGTTAGAGCATGCCTGTGAAGTGACACAGTGTCCACGTACATTAACCTCAGTGAAGCTAGAAGAAGTCTAAAGAATAATGGAGCACCAAACATGTAAAGGACACACAGAGTAGCAGCAGCAAAAAAAAGCGAGTGAATGTTCCTGATTCACTGTGTTGTCTCTAGACACTGTGATGCATCATAAAGTCCACTAGGGGGTAGATAATCTAACTGACTGAGTGAGAATGAATAGCTTGGGAGTTACTTTCAGGATGACGGACATGCTCCACATATAAAACAAATGCATTGAAAAGTCAAACACAACCACATAGAATACAACGGCACTGACCTTCAGTTTCTCAGGGACTACGTTTGGGTCTCTGCTGCTGGCATACATGCGGTACACTTTACGCTCATCCACATGCTCCAGAATCTTCTCGCAGAGCAGATCAGCAGCGCTGTTGGAGGGAGCGCAGGCCAGAATGTGGCAAGAGGGCTGTGTCTTCTCTATCTGCTTTATGGCTTCCACCAGGGTGACAGTTTTGCCTGAACAGACCATGAAACATTATAATAAGGTCAAGTACATTAAGTATCCACATTTGTGAGAAGTTGAGCCAAAAAGTAAAATGCTGGAATTGGCTGTACCTGTTCCAGGTGGACCAAACACCAGGTATGGGGCCGGTCTGGATGAGCCAGCTACAATGTGTTGTACAGCTCGATACTGCTCCGGATTTTTCTCCAGCTTCCAGTCAAACAGCCTATCAGTAGAAGGAGAAATGACAATAGAGCTGAATCACAGATAGAAACATTAATCACATACTAGTGTCAGGTAAGCATCTGGTTTGGTCCAATGTTGTTGGGATAACATAGTTTGTGTTTTCCATGACTTTCAAAGTACATCCATTAATGCTATATTTAGTGCAGTGCTATGACGTGAATATTTTTGTCGTGTAGTTCCGATTAGGAATAAAGTAACTAGGAAGCAAGCAGCCTCTCCTACTATTACTGTTGGGATCCTCATTTCACTTTTGCATTTCATTCAGTAAAAAGTCATTGATGCTGTGTTATTTTAACACCATCCTAAAGCTATAACAAGCTTTTTTGGGTCACATGGAGATGTTCGTCGTATTTCAGTTTCGTACGGCATGGAGCTGAGAAAATCAGCCTCCCGACATGAGTTGGATGAACTAAGATTCTTGTTGGTCAGATCCACATGATGTGCTGTTCAGATTTGGGATTTGGGGGTGTTGGCTCTGTGGCCTACCGTTACCTGTAACATATTTGTCTGTTGGGCTCTACAGGGAACTTTACTTCCATCCATCCATTAGCTACACACTGCTTAATCCTCACTAGGGTCGTGGGGGCGATGGAGCCTATCCCAGCTGACTCAGGGTGAAGGCAGGGGACACTCTGGACAGGTCACCAGTCTATCACAGGGCTACACTTAGAGACAGACAACCAAGCACACTCACATTCACACCTACAGACAATTTAGAATCACCAGTTAACCTCATCATGTTTTTTTCTGTGTGGGAGGAAGCCGGAGAACCCGGAGAGAACCCACGCTGCACGGGGAGAACATGCAAACTCCACGCAGAAAGATCGAGGTGTTCTTACTGGGACGCAAACTGGCGAAGGTGTTAACCACTGAGCTACCTTTGCAACCCTGGAACTTTACATGAGAAGCATATTATGGTCTGTGTCCAGGGGGCGATTTTGGACGTGAGGGGCTTTCCAGCTTTGGGTACTTGATGAGCATAGGACAAGGATGTGTTCTTCGTCCCTTAAACACAAAACAAATACAGGCTACACCTTCCTACAACCGCACAAACACTGGCTGCACCGGACTAGAATAACACTTAACTGATGGCCTATCTGTTCCTGGATTTCAAACTGGACCAACATGGCAGCTTGTCTAGAAACTTCTGTTATGAAAGTATTTTGTTGAAATGAGTTTATCTGTTGTAATTTTAGATTTACAACGGTTGGTTTAAAGTTTTATGAGGCAGTGAGTTATGCTGGATGCCCTCAATTTGCATGTAGCAGCCTTTGAACTTCATGCAAATGGTTAGCAGGCAACATGATGCCTCTTGTCTTGAAATGCAACGCAACACATTAGACAGCTGCTTACAGACAAAGAATAGAAAGTGTGGAAGTAGCAGAACCTGTGGACACATAACATGAGTTGACAAACGTGTTCATATGTGTTCTAACCTGAGTTTGGGAAGCTCAGTTTTCTGACAGGCAAAGGGTGGTTCAGCAGGAAACAACACCTTTCCCAGTTTCCATGCGGCTGCCAGTTCTGCTGCTCTGTGCTGAAGACGCACAGTCAGACGGTTGATGGTGAACTCAACACTGAACTTCATGCCTTCTACAAAGCGATCCAGCAGCCTGCAAGGAAAATCAGACAGCTACCAAAAAGTTCTATACTCTTGGTTTACAATCAGATATTGATGTTTCATTGACTTGTATTATTGTATGTTACTGTCTTGATCTCACTTTGAGCTGAAGCCCAGTTTGACAAAGTCCTGCTGCACACTGTGGACGTAGCCGCAGTACTTCACCCCCGTTTCTCCAACAGGACACACCAGCAGCTGATCCCCTCGTAGCACAGACGGACGGTTCTCAGCCACACCGGGTACCTGGTAGGTGAAAAAATATATATTTTTAGTGGTGAATATGCATGGGAAACCCTTTCAATGAAATCTAAATGATCTCAAACATTTAAGATCACTAGGTCTTTTGATCCTGTCAGTGATTCATTCTACCAGTCTCTACACAAGCTGGTCCAATGTGCTTAGCCATCACATTGGCTGTGTACAACCGCCAAATGCAGGCTTTTTAGTGTTTGTTTGTTTATGACATGCATCAAAAATGATGTAAGGCAGATTAAACGATACATTAAAATCAATTTACTTGTAAACTTTCCAGTGCCTCGTTAAAAAAAAATAAAAAATTATTTGCCATTGCCATTAGCATCTGAAAAATTCTGTGTTTATACTGTCTCGTATTACACACAGCCCAGTGTGACTTCTCAAAGGCGATGTACTGAATGATCCCTCACAAACCAAAATTAGTCATAGCGTGACAATCGCTAACCACGGTTGCTTGCTAATGTGCAGTGTGCCAAGTACATACTGCTCCACCCATAAGTGTCCTCTTTTTTTTTTTGTAGGGTTTTTTTTTTTTCAGCCGATTCTAGACAAACACTTTTCTCAGGAAATGCGCAATGAAGCCACAAGAAATAAATGTCAGCTGAATGAGAAGAGACGAGAGCCACAAAGGTTTACCTCCAGAACGAGAAGCTTCTTATTGCGTTCGTCTTGGCGCATGGTGGCGTATTCTCCATCATCGTTGGGGATGTTGTATCTCTTAATGTCCACCTCCATCTGAAGCTCCTCCAGGTAAAGCAGCATCTGGAACTTCTCGGTGTAGTTCTCCCAGCTCAAGGGACTCTCCAGCAAAGCCCTCCTAAACAGGACACGTGAAAAGTGTATGGGAGTGAATGCTGCATGTTGAAGCCGGGTTGTTTCAGATTGATCGGTTTTTTCAAATGCTTTCATCCTCTGCTCTCTTTTACTGGGCTTTACGTGATCAGCTGATGTTTTCAACAGTCACTACACTAGTGTTAAACTTCAACTGTTGTTTAACTCTGACCAAGAACTTTAATCACTCTACCTTCTATCAGAGGAGGACGTCGGCTGCTTCAGTGAGTTGATGAACTGGTTCATGTATGATGGTATTCGATACTTTTTTAGCTCAACCACATATTGTAGGTGCATCACCGACTGCCTGGTGTGAGGAGACAAAAACGAGAGGGTTGTAAATACCACTGCAAGACAACATATGAAACAGTTCATTTTATACATTTACTGTGTATATTGTGGTACCCTTCAGGTCGCTGCCCATCCACAATCTCGCAAGGAGCTACATCCGTCCGGACAGGAAGGGAGCGAGGTTTGTAGGGGGCTTCAGGGGCCAGCTCCACTCCGAGGGAAGTTATACACTGCGCCTCAATAAAGCGCACAATGTGAAACGTGGTGGAGCTCGGCTGCAGGTCTGGTTTGAATTCAAAGGCCAGTGTCGCTGGATAGAGACCAACCACACTGCACTTGAAGTGAACCTGGATTTCATAGCTGTCACCTGAGAACAGAGCAGGTAATAATGTTTAGTGTACTCCAAGTGGTTTATTGGGCCAATAATTCTCTGATAAAAATAAAAGTCAGCTGTATTTGCATCACCTGGTTTCAGTAACAGAGGCTTCAACTTGGTCACTTTGAGCTCATCCAAGAAAGTTAAGTATTTGAGCCAATGCAGTGGGGTGTAGTAAGTAAAATACACAGGCTCTGTTCCAGTGTTTTCCACCTTCAGCTTTATCATATACTGTTGAAAAAAAAGTAAAACAGAAAATGGTTTGATTGTACAAACAATGACCAACAATGTTTTCCTCTGTTTTGGCAGATGACTGTCAGAGAAGGGCTTCGATTTCAGAGCGTTAATACCTCATATGTGTCTTTCACACACAAGTCAAGTTTTCCATTCTCAAACGGCTGGTCGCAGCTGATGCTGATTCCATGTTTGTCAGAGATAAACAGAGCCCTGTGGGTGCAGAAAGAGCAAAGGTTATGATTCACTGGATTATAGGCAGCAGAGTGGTATGCATTAAATCAGAGCCAAGCTTCAAGTACATTTGTCTTTTAGCTGCATGTGATGTAAGGAGAGGGATGCCTGCTGTGAGTTAAAAGACAGTAAAGAAGAATACACTGTGTCATTTAGAATACTGTGGACTGCTGTAGCCACGCTTACTCATGCAGCTAGAACCCTGCTACCGCGCTTTCCTGTCTTGTTTCCTTTTTGCCACAGCACACAAGAATAAATTAGTTGTTTCCTTCATTGAGATTTCGCATTACTTCTACTTACTGCTAATAACAAGACCATAAGACCAACCAAAAGTACAGTTTTCTCTTTTATCAATTTGCTTTAAAAAGTATAAAATGCATTTAACTTGTGAAGATAGATAGATAGATAGATAGATAGATAGATAGATAGATAGATAGATAGATAGATAGATAGATAGATAGATAGATAGATAGATAAGCAAATGGAACACTTTGTTATCCTACAATGTTTCAATGTGTATCGCAAAGTCCAGTTTAAAGCTCAGAGTTGAGCAAACGGATGGTCTGATCAAAAAAAAAACTCTTCCTCATTCTCTCAGCGGCAGTTTTTAGGCAACGAATGCCAACAGAATCCAAATAGGAGTCTCTTGTCCTACCTCTCTTTCTTGAGTCTGATCATCAGCTGACTGGCCAGTTTTCTCCGGGCTCGTACTCCCGTCTCTGCCTCATCTGCAAGGACGAAGGTGGGCACCGTCTCAGGACTGGCCACTCCGTTCTGGACAGGCTGAGGCTGACGGGTCCTGGGTGTGTGCCACTGGTCCACATAAAGAGCTTGGACCTGTGCAGATTGTTTGTTCGTATCAGTTTTTCCTGCATGTCTGCTCCTTAGTTTTTTTAATAGGACTTGTTTTTTATTTATATTTTTACTATTTTTTTTATTTATCTATTCCTATACATGCACATCACTGTAACAGGAAGCTCTGTCTTAAGATGTGTTTAGAAGGGATTTTTTAAGTACGACATAAACTGCGTCAACTTGGGCTAATACTGTTAGCCACAAAAAAAAGCTGCTGGGTCTTCATCATGAACAGCACAGCTTTCACTTACATGTCTCTTAGAACCTGACTGGCATTTTACTGGGTTGAATAATATCAAAATAAATTGTTTCAAAAATGTGAAAACAAACAAACTACAGTAAGCATTTCTTTCCCGATAATGATGTAATAAGGTCTGAGTCTGTGACAAGAGTTGAAATCTTCCAATAAACACTCTGCTCAGTCTCCTTTGTATTAAATAAAAGTTTCTCGACTCAGGAAACAGAATCCACACATCAAAAACGAAAGAGAATCGGCTTATGTATAGAAGTCAACCAAGTCCGTGTGCTCTTCCACTTCCTTTGTGATACCTAAGAAGTTAGGTTTTAAATTTGCATGAAATTTAGCCAATAGAATTTGAGGATTAGTACCGCTTGTTCTGCATTATATACGTGGCAGCTTCTAGCACACCAAGCGATCGATGTTCCTCGTTGTTCCAGAAAAGTCACCGAAGGGAAGAACCAAAATAACTGCACAGTCACAGGGGAACTACGACAGAATTTACAATTTATATCAATGTCTTCTTTGATATTTTTATAAATCTCAACTGGGTGATGTCTCTGACTAAGCTTGAGGAAACTTCTGATTAGGAAAGAACCTTTTTGATGGTAAAATATCCACCAAACAGTTCTAGTATGAGATTACATATGGTAGCAATGTCCCATTTTATTAACAATAAAGGAATTTTAAAAAACAAAGAAAAAAACATTTCTTTAGAGGAGACTGCACTGAAGTCAGCCCTTGGTTGTTGTTGTTTAAATTGGCATACATGGACCAGAATCATTGAACTAAACACTGTTTCTTAATAAAAACGTAGTAGTACGAAGTTGTAATGTGATATTTAAAACACTCCTCATAACTAAACAGTGGAAACTCAGCGAAGTCCAGGGAGGATGACGAGGCCGACACAGAGAGACACACTGGTGACTCAGATGACTTAGGTTCAAATAAGGAGATCAGGAGAAGTGACACCAACAGAGCTGCAGTTCATGCAAGCAATGCCAGCATCAATTCTGAGGATACCTTAGGTGGGAAATCATATCTAGATTTATGGATGGGCAGGAAAACAAGAAGATAGCTTGGTGTCTTTGTGCAATCTGGCCTTGAGAGGCACAGGGAGTGCCTGCCTGTCCTCCTACAACACATCTACATGGGGGAAGACGATCTGTAGACTGGTGTATGTCTGTTACAGGTTTTATAGCCTGATGTCAAACGATGTTTATTTGGGAAGGTCAGGGAAAGTTTAGGGGTTAAAAGGTATCATCTTCAGAGGCTAAACTACAGAGAGAGCGAAATAATGTCTCCTTCACAAAGACAATAAGAAAAAAACAAGTTACTCCACAGTGTAGTCCTGCATCGTGGTACAAAAGGACATCTTCGGTGTATGTGATCACCAGTCCAACAGACTCCCGAACACACCCACAACTTATTTATGATGTGGTCAAATGTGTACTTTTTTTGGACTTTAAACTACAACTCAGGACAACTAAACTGTAAGATGATAGTTATAAGTAATAAGTATAGTAATATTTGTTCCCTTAGATTCAACAGTGAGTTTAAAATCTATTGAAACATCCTGTACATCATGTAATACTAAAGTTGTATCAAAAAGAAATATTAGATATGAGTTTGTACCTCCCAGAAAACACACAGGTGATGGACATATCTACAAAGCTGCTATAATAACCTAAAAAATACATTTATCATCCCTAGAAAATATGCGTGACATTAAAGGGGAAACATGGATGAAGCAGTGATTTTCACTGACTGCATGTTTTATTCCTTACCGAGGAGTTGAAGCGAATATTCCCTCTCCGTCTCGTTATTTTGCTGTTCACTTTGAGCGCATAGAAGACTGAGCTAAAGTTTGGATCTTTGCTTCCAACATTCCTAAATAAAAAAAAACGCATGAGTCATTTAACTTCGGATGCTTTTACAAAAAAAACAACATTCAGATCTTGTTCAAATGACTCACCTGCTTCTGAACTCAGCGTTGTAAATGTCTCTCAGTTGATCTACATTTGTGATGGATGTCCGATTGGTCTCCTTCAAAAACTCAAAAAAATCGAGTCCAATTTGGCAGAGCGAACCTAAAGACTTTTTAACCATGATGGAAAGCTGAAATGATGGAAGTTATCCCACAATCATGGGGCTGCTCGTCATCTAAATACGGACATAAAGCTCCTCGACGCGCTGCTGTGTTGACTTGAGAGGATGTCCCTGAGGCGGCCGATCGCTTTCGATTACCGTACGGTCCGAGTGGGCGGTGTCTCGGTGTTTTCTTATGAAACACAGCTGCAAGAGCTGACACGGTCAACATGGCAGCGGTAAAGCAGGCGCACCCACAGAGATAGAGGCTGCTCGGAGAAACGAAACTTAACGCAGTAAAGGGAAACCAGTAAACAGAAGCATGAAACATCAGATTATGAGTCAGTCAGTGAACACGTCACCAATAATAGCGTTGTCTTTTATATTGCATGATAGGAAGTAAAACAACCACACCTTCACATTATTATGATGATAATCATAATAATGTGTTTACACAGTCATCTGAGGTGGTTTCATTTGAAAGGAAAGAGTAAGATTCCTGTTACTAAAAAAAGAAAAGAATAGAAACTGAACTTGAAAAAACCCACTATGGATGCTTAGCTGACATACAGTCGTCCTCAAATGTATTCAGACCCTTCCATTAAAAAAAGGCAAAATTCACAATAGTCACTCAAATAACTAGAAACTGAAAAAAGTAATAATAAATAAAAAAAATTGCGAAATTATAATTTAGTGAATTAAGACATTGCTTTTGCATTGTGGTTGAAAAGAATTTAAAAATAAAATTAAATAAAAAAATTAAAAAACCTGTCCCGGACAAATGAGAGCACTTTGCTGATGAGCAGTGGGCCAAAATACCTGTCAACAGGTGCAGAAGTCTGATTGAGAGTTACAGAAAACACTTGATTGCAGTGATTGGCTCAAAGGGTTGTTCAACAAAATATTAGTTTATGGGTCCCATCATGCTTGTTTGCTTGTTTTTGTTTTTTCATATTTCTGTTGAACCACAATTCAAAAGCAATGTTTTCATTACATTTTTATTTCTTATTACTTTTGTCAATTTCAACTTATTTCAGTAGCAGCTGTTTTTTTCCTTCTTTAATGGGAGGATATGAATACATTTGAGGACGGCTGTGGATGCTGCTCACCGTCAGACCGTTCAAATATCTGTTTGTCTGCAACAGCTGAGGCTGCAGTTTCTGGATGGACCCTTGTTTGTTGCAACAGTAAAGTCGACTCATCCCAATGCATAATTAGGAATTAGGAAGTTTATTACTATAATAAAGCTTTCTTTTAATTCAACATTGTGTTTAAAAAAAAGAGGGTTGTGTAATGATGGGCGTGAACTTTTGAAAGTATTTGGAAATGTTCCACGTGCGTCACACCACAAATCAAGCGGCAAATGGACCTCGTCTGCATTCAGATAACTTTAAATTCCTAATTGCACCAGATTGTAATAACTTGGAAGATTGAGCACGCTAAATGTGAGGAGTCTGGTCGGTAAAACAATGTTTTTGTTCCTGATAGAGGAAGAAAATACTGTGGGCAAGTTTGACCTCCACCTTGATGGAAGCGGTTGGTGTATTAGCAACTGTGTAATGCATTATTCCGCCCACACGTTATTTGTGTTTGGTAAGATGATGAATTTGTCAGATTAGGTCATACAAAGCCACAAATCCCTGGCTCTCAATTTTTCATAATCTGCATGATGTCAAGAACAATGGCGGGGATCTACTCGTGGAAACAGGAATGCAGAATATTTCTTAAAGTCAACAATGCTTCCTTATAGGACTGGCTCCTCAGTGGCCTGGAAATGTGAGTCCTTGAAAAGACCTAGAAAGCCCAAAGTACAGACAGGCCACTTAAAAATTCCCAGGAATTCTTTGTTTTCTTGAGCTTGGACCTTGAAATGCAGCTCCATCTTGATACAAGTAGACTATTCCCAGTGACTATGACAGAGTTTCATGCTTTTTCTAAACTGGTTTCTATTATTTAATCTGACATTTCTCACCACCATCATAAAAGATGAAATAACCAGCTTTATCAAATCATTAAATATGTGGGGAAAAAAACTTACAAAACAAAAACTTCTCAACTATAAAACTTGTTTCTGTGAAGGAATTTTTCCTTCTTAAGGTAGTGTTTTTCCTGAACAAGGAACATTCTTTGTCTGCCTTGCTGTCCTTGATACAGTCAAGCTGAGCCTCTCCCCAGCAGCAGTTGCCATAAGCAACCAAGGTCATAAAGATATGATAGCCAAATAACCCTCTGGAGGGAGTGAACAGTCACAATACTGGGGTCCTGTGTTACATCTTTGGGAAAGTGACCATGGGAAAATGTTGCATGAAATATATATTGTGGCTCAGGTGAATGTGATTTAATGTTTAGGATTTGGTTTACATATGTTTGACCCTTTAAAAATTATACATAGAAAACACGAATCCAAAAAGGAAAACATATGAAGAAAACTTATCACTAGTAGTGGAAGATCAAATTCAGGTCTCCTCTTAAAACATACTTTTATCAGACAGCCTTTCCTAATGTTAACTGGGTTTTAATTTCTTTGAGTAACTTTCATTTCAGGACAGCACGGTGCTGCAGTGGCTAGCACTGTCACCCCACAGCTCCAAGGCCCTGGATTCAAACCATGGCCGGAGGTCTTTCTGTGTGGAGTTTGCATGTTCTCAATGTGCAGCGTGTGTTCTCTCCGGGTTCTCCGGCTTCCTCCCTCAGTCCAAAAACATGTTGAGGTTAATTGGTGATTCTAAAATGCGTGAATGTGAGTGTGCTTGGTTGTCTGTCTGTGTGTGTGGCCCTGTGATGGACTGGAGACCAGACCAGGGTGTCCCCAGCTGACTCACCCTTCGTCCAAAGTCTGCTGGGATAGGCTCCAGCCCCCTACGGAGGATAAAGCGGTATATGAATAAAGGATATATACAGAGGCTTGCTTGATAACAACAGAAATGGATGGACCTTAAGTTCACAGTCCTCTTTCAGAAAAATAGACAATTTAGAAATGATACAAAAATGAGCAGAATTTCTTGACTGTGCTGTGAAAAGCCAAACCTAAAAAAATTAGCTTTTGGAGGTGTTTGCCAATGAACAGTAACTTTTCTCAACTGGATAGAAAACGACACATTTTAGCTCAAACAGATAGCAAGCAGTACTTCATTTTGTCAAGTGTTATGGAAATTGTGTATTTTTATCTTACATATGTTATTCCCATGTGTACTTCTTATGTTTTATAAATTAACTATATATTATTTTGAAGGATGGTCCATCTGTCATCTTCCCTCAGTATGCACAGGGTCAGTTTGCAGGTTAGTCTGACCTTGACTGTACAGAGGCAGTTGTAAATCAAGATCTCCTTTCATGCACTGAGAAGCCCTTATCTGTTCACTCACACGCACAAATCAGAAAACACCGGTTTAGAAGAAAGAAAGGAAAGTGAGCATGCAGACTCTGCAAAACTGTGAATTTAGGATTGTTTAGTGAACAAAACTGAATGGATTCTCTCACAAATTCCAGGGATACCAGTCTTCACCTGCTGGGAGTGGAATGAGAGACGGTTCTATCAGCACTAAGAGTAACTGAATTTCTTGTGTTTTTTTGCCTCATGGAGGCATCTGGAAGGAAACTCTGAAAGACATTTTTTTTTTAAATTTGTATTTTTGCTGATCTTTCTTAACAGCAGTCACTGAATTTTACAGTAATGATTTTTGCTTTAGACTTAGACTGACTTTATTCATCCCCAGAGGGAAATTCAGTTGTTACAGCAGCATGAATATTCAACAAAGGGGG